GGCCTAGCTGGCACAAGAGATAAGGCCAGTTCTTTGTCCTGAGAGGCCAATCAGGGAGTGACAAACCAGCAGTGGAATGGGAAAGGAGGTATAAGAGGAGGGACTGCCCCTCCATCGGGGCTCTCACCTGTGTGTTTGTCGGCTGCTGCGTCAGCCATGGTTTGAGCCGGGATTCGAATCTGTAATAAATTCTTGCTGGCTTAATCAAATTGGCTAGTGGTCCATCTCTTGGGGACTCGCTCCATAACATTTGGAGGCCCCAGCGAGATCCCACCTGAGGGGCTTCTCAGTAAGCCCCTCTAAGAAATTTCACGTCCCCTGGAACACCGGACCATGCCCGGATCTGCCTGTTCGGTGCCGGTAAGTCAGGCCTGTTTTCTCTTTTAGTTTCTTGTCCTGGTTTGGTATGTACCCTGTTATTGTGAACTTAGGGAGGCGGGACGCCACGAAATTCCCAGTTCACAACCGAGGTGGTGACGACCACCGAGGCCTGGTTTTGGAGTCTGGAGACTCCCTGGTTCTGCCTAGTTTTGGAGAAGAACTGTATAGTCCTCTGCAGGTCTGTAGCCAGCTTTTTCTGCCTGGTTTTGGAGTCTGGAGACTCCCTGGTTCTGGTCTGAGTGAGTGTTGTTCTGGTCTGAATGAGTATTGTTGTGAGTGTTGAGAGAGTGCGGCCGCAGTCGAGTGTGTGGGAGTTGGTAAAAGTGATTTTGCTTTTTCTCTTTTGGATTTGCTTTGGAATTATCCTTTGCCTAACTGTTTATAAATTGGGAAGAAAGAGAGGAATGGGGCAAGGAAACTCGAAGGAGAGTCACCTAAGTCCCCTTGAATGTATGATTAAAAAATTTTCTGACTTCAGAAAAAGAGGTGAAGGCTACGGTGTTTCCGTAGATGCCTTCACTCTCCGGAGACTCTGTGAATTGGAGTGGCCGACATTTGGGGTTGATTGGCCTTCAACAGGGACCCTAGATATGGGGTCCTGTACGGGAGTCCAGCGGATAGTCTATGGGAGCCCCGGGCTTCCGGACCAAATTCCCTACATTGATATCTGGATTGATGTTCTTTTTGATAACCCCAAATGGCTGAAGAAGTGTGGTTGTCTCCCGGATAAAGGAAAATTGGAAAAGAGACCTCCTAGGTCCATCTTACTCGCCCGGTCACTGGCGGGAGAGAAGCCGATTCAGGCCCCTTCAGCACCCCCTGTTTTAGATACTCCTGAGGAAGACCCGATATCGGGCCTGAAATTCCCTCGCCCACCCCCTTATGTGGCCACGGCTGCCTCCACTACCTCATCAAGAGAGGGGAAGGGGCCTGACCCCCCAGTGAGATCCCAGAGGAGAGTTGAGTATCCCCCCTTGTCCTGAGAAGGAGCTGCGGAGAAGGAGCCCCCTGTGTCACCTAACTCTTCCAGTTCGGGTGAGGGAGATAGAAAGGGGCCACCCCTAATGATCTCCCCCTCAATCCTCCCCACACTCAATCGGGAGCCCAGTTTAGTGAAAGCCGACCGGCTGCCCAGTTCCCACTTAGGGAGGTGGGGGAAACGGACTCCCATGGGCTGCGCCTAAGGACTTATGTTCCTTTCACCACCTCGGATTTATACAATTGGAGGAATCAGAATCCCCCCTTTTCGCAGAACCCCAGGGGCTGATAACTTTACTGGAGTCTGTATTCTATACTCACCAGCCACATGGGATGACTGCCAACAACTATTAAACACCCTGTTTACCACTGAGGAGAGAGAGAGAATAAGGACTGAAGGGAGAAAACAAGTTCTTGACGGACATGGGGAGCCGGTTACAGATTCAGCCCAGATTGACACTGTCTTCCCCTTGGCTCACCCTAACTGGGACCCCAATTCTGTGTTAGGAAGAGAGGCTCTTGACCATTACCTCCAGGTTCTCCTGAGAGGCATTCGGGCTGCCCCTCGAAAGCCTACCAATCTCTCTAAGGTGACCGAGACCAAACAAGGGCCAAATGAGAGTCCGGCAGCTTTCCTTGAGCGACTATGTGAGGCCTATAGGATGTATACACCTATAGATCCTGATGCCCCGGCAAATCAGGCAGCCCTTGTGGTCCAATTTGTAGCACAATCAGCCCCAGCCATTAGGAAAAAATTAAAGAAACTAGAAGGCTTTGAAGGGAAGTCTCTTTCTGAGCTGCTGGCTATAGCCCAGAGGGGTTATAACCGAGAGGACCCATCACAGGTCCTGACCCAGAAGATGGCCAAGGTCCTCATAGCCATAGAAGAGAGGGACAGAGGAGAAGGAGAAAATGGGCAAGGAAAAGGAAAAGGAAGATGGCAAGGGCAAGGTCAGAGACAATTGCTCGGGCGGAATCAGTGTGCGTATTGCAAGAAGACAGGTCACTGGAAGAATGAGTGCCCTGAGAGACCAAGAGGAAGGAGGTCGGAGCCCAGTCCAGTCTTGGTGGAAGAAGTAGACTGAGAACCTCAGGGCTCCTCCACTACCCCCCCCCTCCCCCGGGAGCCCCGGGTAACACTGACCGTGGGGGGCAAGCCTGTTGACTTTTTGGTGGATACCGGGGCCACCCATTCTGTCCTCCTAGAGCCTGAAGGCCCATTGTCCTCTCGAAGAACAGCTACTGTGGGGGGCAACTGGGAAACTGAAATCTTACCCTTGGTCCCAAGCCCGCATCACCAACCTAGGAGAGAAAACGGTCACCCATTCCTTCCTTGTCATCCCTGAATGCCTCCTGGGAAGGGACCTCGTCCAAAAGTTAAAGGCCGCTATCTCCTTCACAGAGGAGGGCCCCCAAGTTAAAACGGGGGAAGGAAAAGTCCTTGTTACGTTCCCGCTAGAAGAAGAGTGCAGGTTACTCGACGAGCCTTCCCCGGGGATGGAATCTGACCTCCTAACACAGTGGCAGCAGGAGACCCCGGAGGTGTGGGCTGAAACCAATCCGCCAGGCCTCGCAGGGCACCGGCCCCCAATAGTCGTCCAACTCCTGAGCACTGCTCTGCCAGTCTGTATCCGCCAGTATCAAATCAGTGGAAAAGTCAGGGTGGGGATCTCAAAACATATCCGGAGGCTTAAAGAAGCAGGGATTTTAGTCCCATGCCAATCGGCCTGGAACACTCCGCTCCTACCTGTGCAAAAGCCAGGCACAGAGGACTTCAGGCCAGTCCAGGACTTAAGGGCAGTCATAAGCGGGTGGAGACCATACACCCAACTCTTCCAAACCCCTACACCCTGCTCAGCCTGCTTAAACCAGACCAACAATTTTATTCAGTGCTGGACTTAAAGGATGCATTCTTCTGCCTCCCCTTGGCACCCCAGACTCAGCCCATTTTCACATTTGAGTGGGTAGACCCAGAGAAAGGGGACTCAGGACAACTGACTTGGACCCGTCTGCCCCATTCTCTTTGATGAGGCTCTAAGTCAGAATCTCCGGGACTTCAGGGCCAGGCATCAGGAGGCCGCATTCCTCCTGGCTGCCTCAACCCTATCGGAGTGTCAAGGTGTCACCCGGGACTTGCTAAAAACTCTAGGGAACCTCGGCTACCGAGTTTTAGCTAAAAAGGCCCAACTTTGCAAAACTGAGGTTACATATTTGGGGTACCATCTTCGCCGAGGAGAGCACACCCTTTCTCAGAGCCAGATTCAAGCCATTCTACAAATCCCCACCCCAACCACCAAGAGGCAAGTACGAGAGTTCCTCGGGGCAGTCGGGTACTGCAGACTATGGATTTTAGGTCTTCCAGAGATTGCTAAGCCACTGTACACCGCCACTGGGGGAAAGAATCCAACCCTCACTGTTGAGAGCCATCAGAGTTGATACAAGCAACTCCATCTTAGAAAATACAACCCCATCTTGGGAGTTAAGTTTCCAACTCCTCTTACAACTCACAGTCACCAGAGATCACGTGGTGCCCTGCGGTTTGGCCAGAAGCTAAAGATAACCTATTGCTTAAGGACACATCCTGCTCTGGAAGATCCCTACAACGTCCCCTCCCTGATCCTCCCTCCCATAGTTTTCCCCGCCTTGGAATGTCCCCGAGGCAACCTCCCCCTACAGCCTGTATGTATATATTGCAGCTTCAACAATAAAATTCGAGGCTTGATCAGAACTCTGTCTTGCCTCCATTTCTCCAGTCTCCTATCCTCCCTCATTCCCTTCCAGGTGTCTCCTCGCTCCCACAGTTGCTGTCCTGCTGGCCGGTCAACTGGCGCCCAACGCGGGGATCGAGGTACGACTCCATCCCGGGAGCACTTGCTAAGAAGTCCGGCCAGACACCCCCTGAGTCGCTGTGCAGTATTGATTTACGAGTCAGACTCGTTCCCCTGATCGCCACGGTTTTCGCCCGCCCGTGAGACAGATCCAAGAGAACGGTAAGCAAGTGCATCTTTTTTGGACAGGCATTTTTAGTTTTAGTTTTAATTTTGTATCCATTTATTATCCAGTTGAATAACAAACTTGCAAATCATAAATGTATATTACAGAGTAAAACAAAGACTACACTGAAATAGACCTCAGTTTCTTTTTTTTTTCTTTTTTCTTTTTTTTCTTTTTTTCCATATTTTATTGATTTTTTTTTTTTACATATTTTATTGATTTTTTTTTTTACCCCCCTCCCTCCCTCCCACATATCCCCTCCCTCCCCAGAGTAAGCAAGTGCATCTTTTTTGGACAGGCATTTTTAGTTTTAGTTTTTAAGGCCTCATGTTCTATACTCTCTAGTCCACTCAGAGCATCCTCTCAACCACTCGGGGAAGTGTGAAGGGTACCCGAGTTTGGAAGAAAGGAAACTCCAAATCACTCGGGAGAGTAACCGAATTATCAGCCGAACCGAAAGGCAACCTCTTGAAAACCCTGAGTTCCCTATATCTTAGTGGCATGGGGCTTATACATCCCGACCTATGATACATGAACAGGTGGACAGAGGCTAGCCAAGTAGGAGAAATCTGATAAAGGTAAAATCCTGGGCTCACCTGGTACGAGGTTTATACATCCCGGAGGCTCACGTGGAAGAGAGGAAGATCATGGGTCAGGCATTAAGCTCCCGTGAGATATTTTTAAAGAGTCTTAAAGAATCCCTCAAGACACGAGGAGTAAGGGTTAAGAAAAAAGATCTTAGAGATTTCTTTATTTTCCTCACTGAGCTCTGTCCCTGGTTTCCCCAAGAGGGGACAATTGACATTAAATGTTGGAGCCGCGTAGGCAGCGCCTTACAAGATTATTATAAGTTGTTTGGTCCGGAAAAAGTTCCGGTCTCCGCCTTTTCGTTTTGGAATCTTATCAATGATGTCCTAAAAGTCCATTCCCATGACCCGGACATTCAAAAAGTCATTGAAACGGGAGAGACAGCCCTTAAGGAGGTTTCCCGTCCCCCCTCGCTGTGCCGTTCAGTTTCCATTGACCTTCCCGAGGAGCCTAAACAGAAAACTTCTCCCTCAGATGCCAATCCCTCTAAAACCCCTCCACCCCCCTCTAACATTTATCCCGCCCTTACCTCCTTCTCCACAAGACACCGCAATGACGAGTTACCACCCCCCGAAGATCAGGCTACCCTAGAGGAAGAAGCCACCAGATATCATAACCCTGACTGGCCCTTTCCCTCACCTCTGCCCCCCCTTTTCAGCCCCCTTCCTATGTCAAACCCCTTCCCTCCTGTTTTAAACCCCTTCCCTCCAGAGACCCCTTCCTGGCCCCAATTTTAGAGCCATTCCACACCCCTCCCGCTTGCTCGGATCACATCCGTCAAGCTAAAGTTACCTTAACTCAAGAGATCTCGTCCTTAAAAGAAATTCTCCGACAAAAGCGTGAGCATGTTCCACTCATTAAAGAAATCCAAGCCCTTGAGGCTGAACTCACCACTTTAACTCCCGCTCCTACAAAAACTACCGAAAAAAAAGCCCCCTAAACCTTCTAAGCCCAAGCCCACTATCCATACCTTCCCTGTCACCCGCAGCCAGAACCCCATATCCCCCTCAGAAGAGCAAGAGAAAGAAGAGGAAAACCCTCCAGATTCCCAGAACCAAGATCAAAACTCGGCCGATGAGGCTTGAATCACAGATGACCCTGTCCCAGATCAGCCCCAGGCTGAAGGCCAAAAATACCGTCGCTTAAACCTTAAACATTTAAAAGATTTAAAAGCAGCTGTTAACAGCTATGGACCCACGACTCCCTTCACCTTGACCCTACTTGAAAGCTTAAGCGATCGGTGGCTAACTCCTAATGACTGGCTTTCCTTAGCTCGAGCCACGCTATCCGGGGGTGAATATGTCCTTTGGCGTACAGATTTTGTAGAAAACTGCTGAGAAACGGCACAGCGCAATAGCGAAAGTAAAATCTCCAGCTTGTGGACGCGAGACAAGCTACTCGGTCGGAGTCCTTATGACACCAATGAGGCACAAGCAGCCTTCCCCCTGGCCTATTAGCACAGATACAAAATGCCGGCCTTAAGGCTTGGCGGCGCCTTCCCCCCAAGGGTTCGGCCACCACCTCTTTGGCCAAGATTCGCCAAGGACCCAATGAACCCTATAGTGATTTTGTCAGTCGCCTAACTGATGCTGCTGAGCAATTAGTCGGGGAAGGAGAAACAGAGAGCGCCTTTATTAAACACCTCGCTTATGAAAATGCCAACCCATCTTGCCAAGAAACTATTACACCCCACCGCTGCGGTAGCCTCTCTGATTATATCAAACTTTGCTCGGGAATAGGAACCTCCCATGCCATCGGACTGGCCATAGGAGCCGCCCTTAAAGATTTTACAAAAGATAAACAAAAAAAACTTGCTTTAATTGCAAACAGCCTGGACATTTTATTTGTGACTGTCCAACAGGGAAACAGTCTCGGCCAGCCCCTTCATCAGTCTGTCCCAAATGCAGACGCGGTAAACATTGGGCTATTGAATGCCACTCAAGAACAGACATTGAAGGCAAACTCATCCCTCAAAAACAGCGAAACTTCCAGAGTGGCCAGCCCCTGGCCCCTTCCTCGGAACAGAACCTCGGGGCGATCAGGTTTGTTCCTCAGACCCAGAATCAAATCCTCGCCACGCAGGTATCGGCTCCCTCTGTTGCGCCACCCCAGGGAGCGCAGGACTGAACCTCTGCCACCGACACAGTATTAATACCAGATCAGGGAATTCAACTCATCCCTACCGAAGCCCCTGGCCCACGCCTCCCGGCACATTCGGCCTAATCTTAGGGCGTGGCAGTTCCTCCTTAGCAGGCCTCCACATCACCCCGGGGGTCGTTGACAATGATTATACAGAGCAAATCACCCTTCTGGCCTCAGCCCAGTCAGGGCCCATATCTATATCCAAAGGACAATAGCACAACTTATACTTCTTCCCTTAAATTCCTCCACTAAAAGCAACATTCAGCACCCCAGGTTAAACTCTGCCTTTGGTACCTCCGATGCTTATTGGATCCAACAAATTACCCCTGAGAGGCCCTTCCTCACTCTTAAATTAGATGGCAAAGCATTTGAAGGGTTAGTAGATACAGGAGCGGACGCTACTGTCATTTCCACTCATTATTGGCCAGACGCTTGGCCTACCACCACCTCAGTAACCCACCTTAAGGGAATTGGCCAGTCCACCAACCCTAAACAAAGTTTAAAAATCCTAACCTGGACTGATAGCGAAGGCAACTCAGGACAGGTTCAGCCCCATATCATTCCTGGCCTACCAATTAATTTATGGGGCTGTGACGTCTTATCCCAGTTAAAACTCATCATGTGTGGCCCTAATGAAATTATAACTCAGTAGATGCTCAACCAAGGCTTTCTCCCAGGACAGGGGCTAGGCAGATAGTCAAGGCATAAAACAACCAATCTTAGTGAATCCTAAAAATGACCGCCTAGGGCTAGGAAGTAAAAATTTTTCATGACGGCCATTGACTTCCCTGTACCCCACGCAGACAAAATTAAATGGAAATCCGACTCCTTTGTGTGGGTAGACCAATGGCCCTTAAATAAAGAAAAACTCGCAGCTACCACCGAGTTAGTACAGGAACAGCTGGCTGCTGGACAGCTAGAGCCCACCACCTCTCCTTGGAACACTCCCATATTTGTAATTAAGAAAAAGACGGGATCATGGCGGCTTCTCCAGGACCTTAGAGACATTAATAAAACCATGTTTACAATGGGAGCCCTCCAACCCGGCCTCCCTTCCCCCATTGCTATTCCAGCTAATCATTTTAAAATCATCATGGACCTTAAAGATTGCTTTTTTACCATTCCCCTTCATCCCCAATTTAGAGAGTGTTTTGCTTTTAGCCTTCCAGTCATTAACTTCAAAGGCCCTATGCACCGTTATCAATGGAAAGTTCTCCCACAGGGCATGGCGAACAGCCCCACACTGTGCCAAAAATGTGTTGCCCAGGCTGTAGACCCCCTCAGGCCTCGGTGGCCTTCTATCTATATCATTCACTACATGGATGATAGTCTCTTAGCTGGAGCCTCTACTTCTGAGGTTCTCAAATGCAGTCAAGAACTAACCCACCGGCTTGCCTCTTTTGGGCTCCAAATCGCCCCCGACAAAATACAACTCAAAGACCCTTACTCTTATCTCGGCTTTGAATTAAACTCAAATAAAATCACCACCCAGAAAATTCAACTAAAAACATCCCATTTACAAACTCTCAATGACTTTCAAAAATTTCTAGGAGACATTAACTGGCTCAGACCTTATCTTAAACTCACAACCGGAGAATTAAAATCTCTCTTTGATATACTCCAAGGAGACTCAGATCCTCTATCCCCTCGGGAGCTAACCCCAGAAGCAAACAAAGCTCTCCAGATAATAGAGACTGCTCTCCAACAACAGCAAGTTACATTCATATCATACAATACACCCTTTGTCCTTATTATCTGTGCCACACCTCATACTCCGACTGGGATTCTATGGCAGGAGAATCCACTTTTATGGATCCATTTACCCTCCTCCCCATCCACGGTCCTCATTCCATATCCCCCCTTAATCACTAAACTCCTAAGATTAGTAAGGGAAAAAAGCCGACAGCACTTCGGCCAAGACCCTGACCAACTCATTCTTCCTTATACAAAAGAACAAATAGACTGGCTCATACAAAATGATGATGATTGGGTCATATCCCTTTCCTCATTTCAAGGTAAAATTGATAATCATTACCCCTCTCATAAGTTAATACAATTTACCCGCCTACACCCTTTTATATTCCCAAAGGTCACTTCCAAAGAACCCATTAAACAAGCTTCCTTAGTCTTTACTGACGGATCCTCTAGTGGAATTGCTGCCTACATCATTGATTCACAAGAATACTCTGTTCAATCCCCCTTTAAATCTGCACAGCTTGTAGAACTATATGCCATTCTCCAGGTATTCACCAAATTAGCCAACACCCCTTTTAATCTATATACTGACAGTGCGTATATTGCATTCTCAGTACCCATGTTAGAAACAGTACCCCACATTAAACCATCCACTAACGCTGTCCCCCCTTTTTTTTTTTTTTTACCAACTTCAATCTCTTATAGTTAAAAGACAAACCCCCTTTTATATTGGACATTTGAGAGCTCACTCCGATCTTCCTGGTCCTCTCTCTAGCGGCAATGCTCTGGCAGACAAAAATACCCGTCTTGTATTTTCTGTTACCACAGACCCTATTGCTAAGGCCAGACAGAGCCATGCCCTCCACCACTTCAATGCCCATACTCTCTGCCTTTTATTCAAAATTACCAGAGAACAAGCCAGACAAATTGTTAAAAGGATGTGTCACCCTCTTACCGCTCCCTCACCTAGGAGTCAACCCTAGAGGCATACTCCCCAATGAAATTTGGCAAATGGACGTTACCCACATCTCTGAATTTGGCAACCTCAAATATGCTCATGTCACCATTGACACCGATAGTGGGTTCATCTTCGCCACCCTTCATAGCGGAGAAGCCTCTAAAAACATCATAGCTCATGTTCTCCAATGCCTCACCGTTATGGGGAAGCCTCAAAAAATTAAGACAGACAATGGGCCTGGGTATACCTCACAGGCATTCCAAAACTTCTGCCATCAATTCCACATTAAACATGTCACTGGCATCCCCTAGAACCCCCAGGGACAAGGAATAATAGAACGAGCTCATCAAACCCTCAAGAATACCATAAATAAACTTAAAACAAATGACATTTATCCCACTAAAGGCTTCCCCCGCAATATCCTAAATCATGCATTGTTTACACTTAATTTTTTACAATTAGACAATAAAGGAAACTCAGCTGCAGACCGCTTATAGCACCAAGAAACAAAAAATCATTATGCAAAAGTTATGTGGAAAGATCCCTTAACCTCCAAATGGCATGGTCCTGATCCGGTCCTCATTTGGGGACGGGGGTCCGCATGTATCTACGATACACAAGAAGAAGGACCTGAATGCCCGATCAATCCCATTGACCCCCCTAAATAACAATCTCTCCTCCAGGGAATTACGCCCTGAGACAGATTTCTCCCTTTTTTACAGATCATGGCAACAACTACCCTGACCCTGCTTTCAATCCTGATACCCATGACCAACGGTGGACTAGGACCTCCGGTAAATAAAGAACAACTGCTTTTAAAGTTATTTGGGGCCCCTTGCAATTGCGGTGAAGGTGTCAGTATAGCCCCCCCACCCGCCGCTTACACCCGCACAGCTGATTGTGGCAGTAAAACTGCCTATCTTACCTATGAGACCCAAATAG